CATTAAATATTTTCATTATTTTGAAATCTTTTGGTAAAGAGTTCTTTTAATGTAAAAAATTTAAAAACTTAGAAAACTATAAAAATTCTGATAATCCTTTTCAAAAAATATTTTGTTCACAGATCCTTAAAATTTAGCCAAATTCTATTTGAATATCAGAAGGGACATGAGGCTTTAAACTTCAGCCGTATCAAAAGCAGGTTTCTGTACAGGAAGATTAGAATTATGCTACCCTGAAGTCCATGATCTCCACTTCCAAAGGCTTTTCCATACATCACCATCAAATCATAGTTTTCTTCAAAGAGATATACAAAGCTTTCCAAAGGACATAATTTCAAAGGAAACTTACTTTCCATTACAATATTTTAAAAGGAAAGAGTAAGTGGGAGTCTTCCTTTCCATAAAGAATATTTGGTTCTCTCCTAAAATTCTACTCTGTTAATGTCAATTATAACCAAAGTGAATTTGTAGAGTTATTACACTTTCCACTGTGTAAGAGGAAGAAAAATGGGTACATAGATGATTTAATATGGCTTTCATAATGGAGCTCGATCTCTGTCAGGTTCAAAGAATGAATAAAGCAAACTGTATCAGTTTTAAGTAAATTTTCCATTTCATTGGAAAACTTGCTTACATTTACTTTAAATTACTAGAAAACCATTCAGGTAGGAAAATTAATGATATAAGCCAGAAATTTAATGACATTTCAGAATAGTATTTTAGCAGAATAGGTTTGACCAGTTTCAACTGCAAATGTTTAAGAGAATACATACATGTCTAATTACAAATGGTGGTTTATCTGTTTCTTTTTTGAATTCATAGGGTCCTAAATTTAAATGGGCCAGCCTCCGCCTGGTGTCTTCAGATAGTTCACACATGCGTCTCTTTGTGTAGGGAGATGGAGAATGTGATTTTGAAGAAATTGTAGGCTGTTCATAGTTTTTTGCATTTATGCAATATTTACTTCTCTCAGGGGACTTGGTTTTTTTCTTTTGGGATCTTGACGTTCTGTTTGGTGGTCTGCCATGTGCTTTTTCAACTGGAACTGAATGATAGGTAAATTTATCCTAAACATAAAAAATAATAATCAATTTAGCAGGCAGAGATATTTTCTAAAGTTTTATCATACAAGAAAAAAAAAACTTTAAAAAGTAATTTAACAGACACACAAAATCTATCAAAGCCAACTAGATCAGTCCTTCCCATATGTGTCAATCCCGGAGGAGCAGGAGTCAAATCTATACTCTCCTACATAACTTCACACAGCAGTTAGTTACCAAGCTATGTTGTACAAAACTTACTTTACTCTAACAAAGACTTTATAGGTTCATTATTTAACTATTTTAAAAATCCAGGAAGCAAACTCAGAAAAATTTTTTTTCAGTATACTGAAAAATTAATGCAAACTTTGGTTATCATTTATATTTAAATAATCAAATAATCAACTATAATGTTTAAGAGGACCATGTTTATGATCCTCTTAATGATAAGAATGCACATGCATAATTAGTTTATTATGAAATATTTATGAAGAAAATTGTAAAATTAGGTTTCATATATCATAATAATCATATATAACACATACAACACAAAATCGGAAAAGCTTTATACCTATTTTAATGAGATATGTTACTTGCATTAACATAAGGTAAATAAGATTTTATGGTCCTTTCCAAGCTATAACTTCACAATTCAGTAATAGGTAACCATATAATTTTAATTCTGGTTCTAGAATTTTAAAAGGGTAACAATATACAAAAGGCACATTGTAAAATTTAATAACTGGTACTTTATCTTCTGGTAAAATTGGTTATCAGTACAATTTTTTTTAACCTGTAATACTGGAGATTGAACTACATTCCAAAGCAATTTGTAAAGTTTTATTTGATTAGTATGTGTTTGCAATACATGAAGTTTGCCTTCATCTTAGACAGGAGGTACATACATGTGCATCACTCATCTTGATTCTTTTTTATTGCTTTCCCCTATTTTCATCATTACTGTTAATTATTCTTAGCGTTAGTTCATTTTACAATGCATATTTACTTTCATTGTGGATATGTGGCGCACATATATGACACATCTTAAATGTATATTCCCTTGACTCTCAGCCCCCAGTCTCCTGGACACTTTCCAATTTGTGAAAATCTAGAGAGGATCTCACTAAGCTGCCCTGGCTGGCCTTGAACTGGTGATCCTTCTGCCTCAGCATTCCGAGCAGCTGGAAACAGACATGTGCCACACCAACTGGTCAGTATATAATTTTGAAATTTAAAAAACATGGAGCTGGAAGAGGGGGCACATTCCTGTAGTTTGAGCTACTCAGCAGACTGATTACTCAATTACTACTGAGTACTGATTACTACTCAGCAGGTGCATTACTTGATTCCAAGTGTTGGAATCAGCCTGAGCAACACAGTAAGACCTCATATCAAAAAGTTAAATTTTTTTTTCATAGCTTCAATTTTGCTACTGGGATGAGACATTACTCAAATACTCTGCCTTATAAATGCCTTAACATTTGGATTATGAGTAATGTACTATTTCCTCATGCATTACCTATACAGAAACTTCTCAGAATAAAAGCATAATTGAAAATCACTGAATGTTTTCCTACCTTTAATCATTTTTAGAAACCGTCAAACCTATCTCTCTCTCTAATTTGTCAATCCCCTTCCTATTTATTAAGAGTGTCTAAGTAAATAAAATGCAGATCTAAATACAAGGGAGAAAGTAAAAAAAAATGTTTTATGGTGGAAATACCTAGGAAACAAAATGTATTTTCCTAATTTAAAAAAGCTTGTGAATTTCTTACAGACCAGTAGCATCAGATTATTTTGTTTTTCATTCTTTCTATGTAGTGCTTGACCTTTCCCCATTTTCTTCAATGACTTCAAAACTAAGAAAAAATTTCTTCCTCTACCAATATACACCTCTGTGATACCACACTGACTTACAGAACTAAGAAATTTTAGTATGATAAAGTATCTTTGCCAGTTACCAAACCATTAAGCAATGAATCTTTCCAAGACTTTGCAATTGGAGTAGTTATTTCTCAGTATTCATTTCTTTGTTCTGATTTTTCATCATTATACAGATCCACTGCATCCCCAAATGAGAAAATGTCTTGTTCAGTATCCACTTCTGTGACATCACACTGACTCAAAGGAGTACGAGATTTCAGTGGGATAAAGGACCTTTGCAGTTTACTAAAACATTAGCAATGGATCTTTCTAAAACTTTGCAATTATTTCTCAGCTTTAATTTCCTTGTCCTAATGATTTTTCATTACTATCCAGATCCACTACATCCCCAACTGACAAAAATCTCATGCTCATCGAAATCTCTCTTCCTCAATTTGCCTCCTTTACTCTCACTGTATTTGTTACAGTAGTCTGTAAACCTCTTTCCTCAAGGCCTTTATAAATTTGTAGTTGAACTCCTAATGATCCATTTTATCAATGCTTGAAGTTCCTTCTTACAACCTACCTCGAATAATAGCAAACATATGTCATCCAATGAGTTAGTGAGATTTGTTACACTGTGAAGCCTGTGTGATATGTTTAACGAATATACTAGTAATTATTAATATTAATTTAAAAACTATACTTTGCAGTAGGTAAAATGATTAACTGACTACAAAAGATTATTTTATCTCAGAAAAAGCACAATATGTCAAATTTTTCAGTCCAATAAATTAATGCACATTTCAAAATAAATGTACAAAATTAGTATTATAATTAGTATTTGTAAAATTAAGTTCTTTTACAAAGTATAGTAATGCATGCCTCTCAAAAATAAAGTTTTATTCTCTTTAAAACTGTAAAGGCTTTTCTATAATCATTAAAATTTTAATTGCAACTAATATGCACTTGAGGAAAAAAGTGGATTTACCACCTGTGGTAAGATCAAGGACTAGTAACATTTGAATTTTAGTTAAAAAGCAAATACCTTTGTGCCTGGATAGTGTTTCCTACTTTAATTTCAACTGTAATCTTTTATATCCTCCATTTATCTTAATTTTTAAAACTAAGACTTATTATTAGATGATATAGATATTGATTTTTATTAAAAACTTTAAATGCAGTGTCTATTTTCTGTATATTTAACAATTTTTCATGGTTAAAAATATAGATTAAAATGTTAACTATGTTATCTACTGCAAACACACAGTAGTACAAAATTAAAATTAAAAATAATCTTAGAAAAAGTAAAAAAGTCATTAATTATATTATGTGCCAGCTATGCATACATTCTTTAATCTTTATAGCAACTTTATGTGACAGTTGAACCAGAAGGTTTCTAAGGCTTATTTTCTGCATTCTTCTTCTTTCCCCTTTTTCTGTCCCTTCACTTTCCTTTCTCTTCCCTTTCTTTCCTTCCTTCTCTATTTCCTTCCCTTCTTTCCATCATCTCTTCCTTTCTTTTTGTGTTAGGAATCAAATCCAGGACTAGAGCTCATGCACACTAGGCAAGCACCCCACCAGCGCTAAATTTGTAGCACGACAGCATATTTTGTAATCTACAATTTATTCTGTCATATTCACCTTTATAAAAACAAAATAACAAAAACTGAAATTCCAAGTCAAAACAAGATAGAGAGTCTTGCCAGAAGTTCACATGTGCAGAGAAGTTAATGGGCAGCTTTCCATGTACAAAGGTTGCTCCAATGTGCTGTATACTTCGAATGCGTGCAATTTTCTACGTGGATGCTATGCTTCAGACAAAAAGTTAAAAAAAAAGAAAACTTTTCTACTCATCACATTAGGCAAGCTCTAGCATGAAGAGAAAACTTGTTAGTCAGGAAAAACATTTCTAATAATTGACAAATGTGGACAGTACACCTCGCAAAAACAAGCACCGTAGAAAAATAAAAATAAAAATAGCTCAGTGGATTACAGAGCTTGCAAGCCGGTGCAGGGGCCCAGGGTTCGATCCCCAGGCCTGCCATGCCAGCCCTGCCCCCAGGGCACATTGAGATGGCAATGGCAATTGAGATTGGGCAAGGTGGCGCGTGCCTGTAATCCCAGCTCTTGGGAGGCTGTAAACAGGAGAATCACTATGAGTCCAATCTAGTAGTGAGACCCTGAACACCTTGTAGATCTTTCCTTAAAATACAAAAACACCCAACAACAACAACAAAAAAAAAACAAGCTCCTCATTTGGCATGCATGGACTATCAGATCTCTAACATCTGTGTTTCAACCTGCATTTAAAAAATAAATAACTACAGTCTAACTCAAAAATGCTATTCTGTCTTGCTAAACAAAGTAAGAATGGTTCATTAATAATTCTATAACTAAAGTCAGGTGTGGTAGAGGTCACCTATTGTCCCAGATAATTGGAAGGTAAAGTAGGATGATGGCCTGTGGCCATAAATTTAAGATTAGTTGGGTAATACAAAGACACTATATCAATAGTAAAAATAATAATAATTCTGCAAATTATCTTTCTTACCTCATAGTTATCATCCCCAGCACATTTAATTAAAATTGATAATTAAGTAAATTAACATCCCACTGCTCCCATGACAGATCCAGTTGTGTCCTGTTTAACTCCTCCAGGCTTCACATGTTACTACTGCCTCTTCATCACAAACAGATCATTGTTGGTCACAATGCAACTACACATGAGTGATATCATTGCATAACTTATGGACAGGTACATAAGTGTCACAAAACCACCACATGACTCAGTAAAATTGACTAGAATGGGCTACTGGACTCAAGTCTCTCAGATTACTAAAGGTGCTTTAATAAACATAGATGGTATTTAGGGTAATATCCACACTTCCTTTGAGCTGACAGTTTCTTAAGACACAGCACAATAATCCCTTAAACAATGAGAGATAGGAAATCACACTCCTTAAACACTAGTATTTCAGTCTGACAACTTCTGTTACATTCTAAAAGGTATCCTTTGATCTTTTTACATTAACCTCTAACTTCTTGTACATGATGTATAGAAGCTTCCAGTTTAGTTTTCTATGAATTTCTTAATTGCAGTATCATTCTGAAAGGCTTCTTTCCATTATTTTTTTTTAAAAAGCACAGCATCATCTAAAAAAATCAATGTTTAATTTTACACATTTATTAAGATACAATCAGACTGTTAAATATTGTTAACTGCCTTAGTTAAACTTAAGACTGGCCAAAACATTGATAAGAATTGCAGCCAAAATAAAAGGATAGAGCTTTCCAAATGGTTATAAATATGGACAAGTAAATGAAATTACTAAATACATGAAATAAATAATTTTAACCTGAGTACGGCACTTCCTTGAACTTATCAGACATTCAGTAATCACTGAAGTTGTAGAAAATTCCAGCTTTGGAGCAATTCCCTGGGAAGGAAAAAGAGGACACTATCAGACATTTTGCTTTAAAGAGAGAGAACAGGGCTGGGGAGATGGCTCAGTAGAATAAGTGCTTGCCTGGCAAGTACAAGGATCCGAATTCAATCCCTGGTTCCACCAAATAAATAAGTAAATAAATAAATAAATAAAAAACAGAGAGAACACTTAATGAGAATGTGATCTTTTTATTATTTATTTATTTTTTGTATTTCTTAGGGGAGGGCCTACAGGGTGTTCAGGATTTCACTACTAGATCTACCTGTTTACAGCCTCCCAAGAGCTGGGATTACAGATGTGCATTACCACACCCAGTCTCAACTGCCATCTCAGCATGCGTGGGGGTGGGGCTGTTATGGCTGGCCTAAAGATTGAACCCTGGGCCCCTGCACATGCTTGCAGGCACTTTAATCCGCTGAGCTATTTGGCCAGCCCTGAGAATGTGATTTTAAGCAATGAATATTTGTCCAGGTTCAGTGTTGCACTTGTTAGTTTGTACTTCTTACTAAAGATAAATAAAAACCTAGTAAACTAAATATTACCTAGAAAATATTTCATTGATGAAGACTTAAGAGTGATTATTTGTGGAATTAAGTTTGTTTATTATTTTCAAGTACTTCCCTGTCAAATTATTTTAAGATTTTAAAACTATTATATATTATGGTCATAAATATATGAACATACTTAATGGATTTCATCTCTTATAAAACTGAAGATTTTTTCACTATATAATCAAGAAATAAGTACCTTAATTAGCTTGATATAGCTATTTCACAATGTATATGCACCAAATTATTTACAATGTTAATATGGCATTGAAAATTTTTAGAAAGAAATATTTTGGATAGTCTTGTTTGAAAATATATACAGTCCTGGATATACAGTCTTTTAAAAAAATTATACTAAAGATTGAACTCAGGGCCTTCACACTGAATTATATCCCCAGTCTCCCTCTTGTTGTGACACAGTTGCTTGAACTTACAATTCTCCTGCCTCAGGCTCCCACAGTTTTGGGATTTTAGATATGTGCTACCACAACTGGCTTGTGTGTGCAGTTTTTGAAAATGGAAAAAAGATAAATGTCTATCAATTCACCTATAATTATTTCCTGTCATGTAGCATACATTCAGATCTAGGAAGGAATCTGGCATCTATTTTTTTTTTCTGGCTTCTATTTTTAGCAACATTGTAGTCATCAGTTTGAATATTTATTTGAGACAAGTGGAACCAGTTCAAAGGGACAATCACAAAGTACCTGAAAAAATATTTAAAAGCACATATGTTAAGCATACACCCGAACATTAAACAATACATCTGTGCCCACAGCAGTTTAACTTAACCTGAGTGGAAATCCAACTGAGCGAGGCCTCCACATTTGGCCTCAACAACCTGAGCTTCGGGGCTGGGTGCCAAATTTCAAATATCACACCTATTACAGAGGTCAATCTGACTTGCCTCAGAATTAGCATAGGTATTGTTTTTCTGCAAACCTATCATTTATTAATGCATCTACTAGCATTCCTGCCTTTTAGTTGTCTAATATTACAAAACATACTATTACAAAATTTGGCAGCATGTAACATCAGCAAACACTTATTCTACTTAGTTTCCTGGAGCCAGGAGTCTAGCGACAATTAAACTGGATATTTGTGGCCTGAAATTTGTCATGACTGCAGCATAGACATCACTTGCGCTGTAGTCATCTTAAAGCTTCAGCAGTTGGCAATCTGTTTCCCAAGATGGCTTATTCACATGACTGTTGCGGGGAGAGCTTCTGCTCCCTTCTAGTTTTCGTCAGGAAGACCTACATCCTCATCACACAAACCAGCTCAGTGGGACTGTTCATTAGCTTTCCTGTCACTAGGAAATATCTGACACCCACAACTTAAAGGACAGATTTAATTTGGTACATGGTTTGAAGGAGATTCAGTCCATGGACAGCTGCATGAAGGTAAAAGTGGCATTGTAGAAGTGCCTGGCAGAGGAAAGCTGGCATCCAGGATACAAAAGGGGAAAGAGAGGAGCTGGGGGGAAAGATACACCCCTAGTGCCATGCCCCAGGAAGCTACCTCCAACTTCTAACAGCACATTCATCGAAGAAGAACTTGTTAGTGGACAGCACGCTCATGACTCAGAGTGCCACCTGTGGATACAGACGTCTAGGGGCCATCTTAGACCTATAACATAACAGCTACTGAGTATCCTCAAGACATGGCGGCTTGTTTCTCCAAGGTGAGTTATTCATAGCAAAGAAAGAAGAAAGCCATGACACAGTCACTTCCAAAGTCCAAACACTGTCACGTCCATCCCATTCTGCTCATGAGTGTCACTAAGTACAACCATCTTCAAGGTCAGAGGAGGTAGTCTACTTTTTCAGTAGATAAGTATCAAAAACTTGAACATAGGTTTTTCTCTCTGACGAAAAATTACTTATATTTCTCTTATGTGCAAAGTACATTCATGGTTTATAAATGGGAGGGAAGAGGAGTGGAGAAAGAGGTGGGACAAGAAATCACGGTTTTTATAAGTATCAGCTTGAAATCTAGAGTGTATCCATAAAGTTCTTCATGTGTGCGTGTTTTGGTAGAGCATCTAGAATAGAGTTCTTCATAATCATAGGACACATGAACTAAGGAGACAAATCATCTATACCACAAATACCCAGTGTGCACATATGCAGCAAGCACAGGGCAATCATGATAGATATTGTTTTAAAAGGGGGAATACGGAAAGAAGGAATCACTGGTCCACAGGGATCTTAAAGTCTAGCTAGAGAAATGTTAGAAGTTCCTTGATTAGGATTTACTCCTGTTGTTGCTCAGAAATACTCGTGAGTCTTGATTCAACGTTTTAGGGCCTTTCATCTTCTGAATCATAATTCCTTTGAAACAGAAAGCAGTCTGTTTAGAGCTGTATAGGGCTCTGAGCTTAGGTTCAGACTTAGCATTTTGAAAAAATCTTTCACCATTTCAGATTAAACTGATGGTGCTTCTATGAATATATAGTGATGCTCATAAATTCTCTTTGGCTATCGTGTAAATTTTACTGGAATTTGCTCTATTATAGTTCTGTGTATTAGGTTTCTTCTCCTGAGATTACTGGCAAACATGGTCCTTCTGCATTTTATTTTCTTATTTTTTTTTAAATGTACTTAGTACAGGGTCTACAGGGTCTCTCTACACAGATTACTTGAGAGTGATCCTCCTGTTTTCAGCCTCCCAAGCACTGGGGTTATAGGGGCACACCACCACACCCAGTCTCAATGGCTGTCTCAGTGCCCCCTGCGGGGGGGGGGGGCAGCACAGGACACCTGGATCAAACCCTGGTCCCTGTGTAAGCAGGTGCTTTAATCCACTGAGCTATTTGGCTCAGACATAGAAAACCTATGTCTGATTAAATGATTTTGCAAGGCAACATATTAGATCTCTCCAAGCTTCTAATGAAAGATTTATAGTTGTACTTTCAGTTTCACCATCAGACACTTTTTTGGAACTGGCCTGGGATAATTTTTAATCAAGGGTCATTTCTTACTTGTGAGCACTGTGCATAGGTGAGAAAGGTAGGGTATCATCAGAATGGTAAGTTCCAGCTTCTTTTTAACAACCTTTCCTTTTGCTTTTTTCTAGTCTCCCATACTAAGCTGTAGGTAGCAACAAAATAAACCAAGCAACCCCTCTAACATCAGAAAGCAGGCGTAGATGGTCTGTTTCACTGGCTATCCTTCCTATGTTACATTTTATTGCAGGTGATTGTGGTGCTAAACTTTCTGTCATTATGTAACAAGGACTCTATTTTCAATTTTCAGTAACATTGACCTCACTGTCCTGCAAATGCCTATCTGATATTATATTCTCGCATCGCTGCCTGGATGTCCACTCATCACTGTAACCCTCCCACACACTGCTGATCACACAGTACGTAAGGATCACGAAGTCCTCTCAGCTTTTGTCCTCTCCACAGAGCTGATTCAGTGTCCTCACATAGATCTGTTTTCTTCCACCAGCATGGGCGATCCAAAGAGAACACTGCAAACTTGTAATGACCTGGTCTCAGAAGTCTAATACTATCACTGTGCCACACTATATATGTTAGTCACTTGATATAGTTGCTAGAGTGTTCCCTGAATGAAGAGGAATATCAAAAACTTCCTGCACAGTCATGTGCCACTTAATGATGGTGATATTCTACTAGACATAGGTGATTCTGTCATGGTGTAAGAGTGTACTTACACAAAGCTGGGTAACATGGCCTACTACATATCTGGTTCTATGGCATAGCAACCACTGTCTATGCAACCCTTCACTAACTGAATAGTGTTATGGACTGTATGAATGTATTTTATTGCACTGCCGTGGCTAAAACTTACACTTAACTCTTTAACCTTCCCTGTATATTGCTGGTCACATAGTAGTACAAAATAGTCATTACTTTTACCAAAGTCCAGCTGTTGTTACAGGTTCTCCAGGGAAACTGAATCAATAGGATTATACATACAAAGAGATTTAGCTTAAGAAATTACTTCACACAATCCTGGGAGATGGCAGGTTCAAAATTTATAGGGCAGGGATGAGTGGGAAAAGTGAAAATGGAACTTTGAATGTGAAATTTTTAGAACAGGCTATCATCAGGTAAAATTCCTGTTATAGTCTGTTACTCCTTAATTTGTCTTATCCTACTTTTCAGACAAGTTTCAGTGCCCTTAAGTTGGCAGCATCAATTTATCCAGTTTTCCTCTTGTTTTATACGTGGAAAAGAAGTCAGAAACTCTTCACACTGTCATTACTGGAAGTCCTAACCTTTTTGTTCCCTGAGCAATTCATCTTCCAAATATATGTAATAGTCATTCAGATAAAGTAATGAAAGATGAATTCCCATTAATGTTCCAATCTTTTGAGTTTATATTGCCATACCGGTATAATGCCAGATTTTAAATTACTATTAAGAGACCATAAAATAAAATTAAATATTAAAATATGATTATTTTTCCACTGTGTGTTTCAGCACAGTTTTTGGAATACTTTTTAACACCTTTATAATGTAGCAGCTGACTAATTTCCCTAAGGATGAATACATTCATAGACTTGCTAGTCAACTTGTACATTTTCATTAAGGTAAAGCTGCTATTTCTTTGAGGAACGCATATCATAGATTTTACCTACATTTATAGGAAAAATTGCTTAATTCACTATATTGACTCATATTGACCCACTTTCCTTACTCAGACTACTCTAGGATTTGATAAAATTAGCTTAAAAATACTTGTCCAAATAATTTCTATCCCAACAACTTTTAACTTTCCTCCTCAGAATAGGAGGGGTTCTGTGAGTTTGCCTAAAAGGCTTTTAAGAATAAAAATATTTTAAAATCATCTAACAGAACTTGTGAAAAGTTGTAGGAGACCACAGGGGAGTAAGCTGTTATTTAATGTAGTTTTGAAGGTTAGGTGTAAGAATATATATTGCTGCTCCTTAAATGTTTTACAATTAATCTTGCCAAACTCCTAGTAAAAGACATTTCAATTTTTCACTATTATGAACAATGATAAAAAGGAACATTCTTAAGAAAGCTCTTAGTATTCCAATGAGAATATATTTAACATAAAAACCTAGAGGATCACATTTATAAGAATCTTTGTCTTTGCCAAATTATTCAGAACTCTGACTTATTCCAACACACAAAAGCTGCATCCAATAGTCTACAAATTTTTTCTCTTCAATCTCAGATTTATAAAACTTTGCCAATTATAGCTATAAAAATAAAATCATGTCCCCCCCATGCCATGCCAGCTTCACCCTGAGATGGCGACTGAGACTGGGCGTGGTGGCACTCGCCTGCAATCCCAGCACTTGGGAAGCTGAAAACAGGTGGATCACTGAGTCTGATCCGTAGACTCTGCACTAAATACATTAAATAAATAAATAAATAAATAATAAAATCACATAGTTGTTTTAATGTGGATTTCTCTAAATGCTAATGAGACAGAGTACTTTTCAAATGTGTGTTGGTCACTCCTTAGAAGAAGTACTAGGCAGAGACAGAGATGGTGCAGCGATGGGAGGAGAGGAGAGGAGAGCTCTGAAGACTAAAAGGCACTATAATCATGCTCATTTAGATAATATATGCATGAATTTTCTTAAATTATTTTCATTAAATTTTAAGGTAGTTACCATTGTACAATTTTAAAAACAAGTTTTAAATGAAATTACACTCTCAATTTGTTCTTCACACTTAAGATGTTGATGAGTATGTAGTGGTTCTTGATAATAATTCTGCATCAAAAACCAATTTAGAAAATAGTAAGTACTTACTCGTAGGCCAGAAATCCTCCTCATGGTAACCTGGCGGTTGGAATCATGATGTCCGGAAATTTGATTTGGACCCGGGAACATGAAATCTCGTGTGTTTTCCTCATACGTAGACAGTGTTTCACCCACTACAAGAAAGATATCCTATGATTCAAATTATAACAAAATAATCTATTTAGAAAAACAATAACCAAGTATACTATACGTGTTGCCTGATGCCTTATTGAATAACACCTGCTTAGGATCATGTTTGTCTTCTACAAAAACAGTATTGAAATAAATTTAGATTAAATATATCAATACTTTACATTTAAATGATTTGTTTATTACATAAGTACATCTAGGATGCCACAATTTTATATACAACATATATTTCAGAAATATATAAAAGGTAATATATCATTTTTTCAGCAACATATATTACATTATTAGCAATTCCTTGCTCCCCTCTGACTATCCCTGGGGAGAATGTGAATAATCATGTAATTAAATGAGCAATTATGAGTTCAAAAACAGTGTCAATTTAAATATATAATACTGGTACGATATTTACCTATCTAAATTTTAGTTACCATCGCCATAATTTTTTTTAGTCCCTATATTTTCTATCTGCTATTATAATATATAAGATTGTGGTAAAAATAATTGATGTATTTATAAAATTTTTGGATACCTGACTTAGGTATACACGTTATATTTAAACATTTCAAGCGAGGTATGGTGGCACGCACCTGTAATCCTACCACTCAGGAGGCTAAGGCCATGAGTTCAAGGCCAGCCTGGGCTACACAGAGAGTCGAAGGCCAGCCTGAACTGCATAGCAAGACCCTGTTTCAAAAAAAAAAAGAAATTATAGACGCATAGTAGCATTTAAAATAATATGGTGCTTTTTTAGGGATCCATTGGTCTCACTGCCTTTGGTTCTACCCAGGGAGAAACGGTGACAGGATCGAGAAAGAAAAGACAAGAAGACAAAAGCTGGGCTAGGTTGTTGCTGGTCTGCCTGATGGACAAGACTAACACAACAGCTCAACAGAAAATGCTCATTTATTTATACTTTTGCAAAGTTAGTAACATGTGACACAAGGTTGCCTAGTAACTAACAGCTGACCTTAACCTGACAGGATGTTTATCTCAGGAGTCAGGCAGCTTGTTTGCTTTAGGCACTCAGACCTAGTACCACCTACACACATTTGATCAATTTCCTAGCTTCCTCTGGCTCCCAACAAATAAGAATTAAAATACATTACTTCTTTATTCCCAGAAATCAATATATGAAAACTAGACTCTGTATTTAATAGTCTATAAGTTCTAGGGATCTGTAACATTTATTGTAAATGTAAGGTTTTAATCTCCATACTAGTCAATGTAGAAAAACAAATAATTACTGTATCAATAAAAATATATAGCTTTAAAAAATCTCTAAAAGTTAAAAATCAATTTTAACTCATAACATATCATTAAGTGATAGCATGTTATTTTATACTACACTTATGAAGTACCATTATGTCAATCTTTGCATATATATCATTGTGATCTACTTAAATTTTATAGATACCAAACCAATGGTAAAAAAAAAAAATTAACATTTTTCTCAACTTGGACACAGGGAAAAACGATGAGACTTTAGAAAAACAGTTCACTGAAATGAGTGTGCATGTCCATCACTTTACCAGTTTTGAATACATTACCTGGTGGAACTAGCTGTATCAACTCAAACATCGCTGTATCATCTGAGAGTTCAAAGAAAAGAAAGTTTCTTAAGTAAATAAATTTATAATAAACAAAAATAATCTAAAAGCCAAAGCAATCACTAAATAAAAATACATACACTTATATCTTACAAACTATGTCCATTTTACAAATATAAATTTTGTCTATTAATCAGTGGTAAGTATAGTTAGGCCTATTATTACAAAAGTCTTTATACTTTTAACATGTGAAATATTTTACAGGAAATTTATAAAAATAAGGAAAAAAAATTTTGCCTTTTTGGCCCATGAAGAATAAACATTCTCTTACTCCCTTTAAATTTTTACCGTTTTTTCACCAACAAAAATCTTTGTCATTCTACCCTTTACATATATATTATCTATGAAGAAAGACACTCCTCTTAAATCATCACTTCAGGCTATAATGCAAAAAAAGTACATATGGCATTTACCTCAAAAACCTTGAATTTCACTAGGAATATTTTATTAAATGAAACATTAAATGAATATTACATAAGTATTTCCTGAAAAACATAAATGAATGTGTAATTACAAACTACAAGTATAAAGAGGGTATTGTAGATCGTGCTCTGAGAGAATATATCAATAAAACCTAATCTAGGTTTGAGGAGATAGCTAAGTGGCCTAGGTACCTGCCTGGCAAGCTCAAGGACCCGAGTTGGATCCCTAGTACCTCATTTGGTGCTGGCCCCACCCTGGTGCTCAGTGCTGGCCACTGAAACCGAGTGTGGTGGTGCACACCTGTAATCCCAGTGCTGGGGAGGCTGAGACAGGAGCTGCATAATGAGACACTGCACCAAATAAATCAAATTAAAAAAAGAAAAAGAGACCTAACCTAGTTAAGCAGCCAGGTCTTCTCTGAGAAAATGTTTCCTAGCACCTAATGTACAGCATGAGAAAGTATTATAAACTAAGAGTTAGGGGGCTAAAGAAGTAGTTTTCCAAGAAAAAAGGATGAGCATATACAAAGGATTTAAATACAATAGACCAAGAATAGCTCAGTGGTCTAAGCACCTGCCTGGTATGTACAAGGTCCTGAGTTCAATCCCCAGCAAGATCTTGTAACAAACAAATAAATACAGTAGACTAAGTTAATGTAAGAAAGTGGGCAGTTCAAAAAAAAAATCCTACGATTAATTAGAAAGAACATACAAATCTGCAGGAAGGCCTGGGAAAATTAACAAAGCACTTTGTAAAAAAGGTATAAGTCTGAAACACTGGGTAGCCATGAAATTCAGAGATAGTGTCTTCCATTTAAGGCTGATTTTCCCTGCTGGTATTACAGTTCTGATAGAAGCAGCTAAACAGTAAGAAGTTATTATGGTGTGTGCATAGGTGTCCCCCCAAAGCCTCTTGTAGTCATGAGGTGGCTTCTGGAGTTTGTGATTATTGTGGGTGTGGATACTGCACCTGCCCTAAGGCAGGCAATTTGTATTACAATGTAAGGAAGGGAGAGAGGCTAGCTAGCTGCCTGGGCTGCTGCTATTACCTATGTTCTCTGCTCTTCGCCACCACCAAGAAAGGTTGCTCTCCTGCCTTGTGCCACTCTGCCTTGGAGCCAGCGAGTGTGGACTGAAACCTCCAGTAACTGAGCTAAATAAAACTTTCCTTCCTTCATTTTGGATGTCAGATATTTGTCCCAGCAACTAAAGAAGAGTAACTGAGGCAGAAGCTTAACTATAGCTTTTATCCACTCATGAAGTAGAGGAACAAAAATTGGAGTATCATGGCCTTCAGAAGAGAGAGGAAAGGTCTAGACAGAAGGCCCAACAGTGTGATAAACTGGCCAGACTATAGCAGCATATACAAGATAAATGCAATTGTAAAAAATAAACTCAAACAGAGAGCCACATTAGAATTAGCACCCAAATTTGTTAAATCCAAAATCCTGTCAGGATTAAGATAAACCAGAATTCCTGATGTCCTTTACCAATCTACTAAAACAGTCAGCAATCTTATCTAAATAATAATAACTAAAAATAAGACAAAATTTTTTCTAAAATACTTAGAGTCTAATTTTTAAGCAAAAGTACTTGGACATATAAGAAAATAAGGCCAGTGAAACAGCTCAGGAGATTAAGAGCAAGCTTAGGCAAGTGCAGGGACCCGGGCTTAATCCCAGGACCACATGCCATGCTGGCCCTGCCCTGGGGTACACTGACCCAGCCACCAAGACTGGAGTGGTGGAGCACACCTGTAATCCCAGTGCTGGGGAGGCTGAGATAGGAGAGTCATTATGAGTCTAAGTTGTATAGCGAGACCATGTACCAAATAAATAAAAAAAAAAGATTTTTAAAAAGTAAAAAGAAAATATATGAGAGTAGAGGATGTACTTGAAAATAAGTACATCAAATTCAAATTCCTACAAAAAAATCAAATTCCCACAAAAGACACTTAAAACAAATATAGGAAAAGTACAGTCATGCAAGTCATGCATGTGTGTATATGTTCAAATACACATATACATGGATATACATACAACTTCCTAAATTCTTATAATAAAGAAAATATTAATTCAGATGATTATGCTCATGAATTCTTTCAAAAATTTAACGGAAAAAAATGATACCAGTGATGTACAGACTCTTTCATGAAACAGTAAAAGAAAGAACACTTCTTAACTTGTGCCAAGACTCCAGGAAAACCTTGAAACAAAACCTGGCAAAGACTTCACAAGAAAGGAAAATAAAATCTAGTTCATGAACAGAAATGTGACAATCCTAACCAAAATATGACCAAATCAAATCCATCAACATATAAATGTGATTTAATATTCAAAACTAAAGCAGCATAATTTACCCCATCAACAGAATAAAATAGACAAAGTGGTTCATAATGTTTAAGAATCATTCATGTTTGGAAATTCTGGTCATATTAGAAATTGAGGATATGAGTCCTTGCAACTGAAAAACTAAAGTAAACATGCCAAGTGCTCAAGTTTGAGACTTCGCTTCTGAGGTCAGAAATAAAACATACACTTCGTTCAGTGCTATCACTGCTATCATGCACTTCTTCATCTCATTGGAGTTCTGAGTAGTGTAACAAAGCATAAGAATAAGAGAGACTGTAAGTCTCATCATTTAAAGATAATGGATTTATATACACAAAATGTTCCGCAGAGACTTTCAGACTAATGTGCATAGAGAGGTTGCTGGAAAAAGTCAATATGCTAAGCCGCATGTCTTCAATTTTAGTTACCAGCAACAGTTAGAAATGACATGATCTGGTTTAAATGTATAAAATACTTAAGAAAATATTTAAAAAACACTGAAGACTATTAAACAAAATTACAAGCATTATCAAATGCATTAAGAGCTAATACTAACAGAACATCTGTGCTTGAGAGATATCAACCAATCACAATCCCAATTAAAATTATAAAATAGTGATATATTTGAGAGTATTAAGATATGGTTCATTTTTAGGTATGACATAGTATACTTCACATAGCTTAGATCATTTTTATCTGTAAATAGAATGATGTGTTAAGTTTGCTTCAAAACAATCCAGATGTGGCTCTTAATTCATGACAAATTAAATACTACAATCAAACAGTCTTTTGAAACCAGTACTGTTCTATTAGAATTACCTATAAATAATACAATACTTTTTTTCTATTAATAAAAAATAAATGGACTCTAAAGCAAAATGTAAATGAAAAAGGAATAATTCCAAAAGATTATATGTTCATAGTTTGGAGAATGATTCCATAAACATGATCAAATGAGCAATAAACACAAGTCAAGGGATTAATAAATGAAACTGTATTATTAAGTCAGACTATATTAAAAATAATGCTCATCAAAAAACAAGAACCACTAGTGGATTAAAAATGCAAGCCATATAGTGGGAAGATAACTGCAACACACAATTCAAAAAAAGTACCTAACTAAAAATATAAAGAATTCATAGAAATAAGTTAGAAAGAAGCAAATAATCTAATAGAAATGTGAGCAATTAGACACTCACCAAAACAAAAACAATTGCAAAAAATCCCCTTATTTGTCCTTAGGGGAATGAAAACCAAAATAACTAGCTATTCACTTTCATAGTGACTAAAATGTGAAATTCTGGCACTGCCAGATGTTGACAAGAATGTGCAGAATAGGAGCTTTTATCAGTGGCAATAAGAGTACAGATCAAGACAGAAACACTGGAAAGCTGGCATTATCTACTCATGTTAATTCCAAAACCCGGCAGCAGTTCCACCTCTCTGTAGACCCCCCAATACGAATGCATGCTCCTCAGAACTGAATATTCACAGCAACTCTATGCCCAATGGCAAAAAGTAGAAATAAATCATCCCTCAAGCCCACAACCAGAATAAAATCAATACAGTAAAAAAAAAAAAATGAAATACTATACAGCATAAAGATGAATGGATCACAGTTGAATTTCAAACTAAATACTGCACAAAAACAATGCACACTGTATGATTCTAATTGTTTTTTTAAAGTAGGCAAAATAAACTTTAAAATTAGCCATGCAGATGGAAATTCTGTGGAACAGAGAAAAAAATAACTGTGAGACAGTTAAAAAGTAGCCTTCTGGAGTTCTAGCAATGTTATTTTTTAAAGTAAATTGTAACACATTCTGGGAAAGCAGCAGCATCAGATCCAAGATGGCATCCAGCAGGAAGCTGATGAAGGAGCTTGAAGAGATCCACAAATGTGGAATGAAAAACTTCTGTAGCATCAGTTGATGAAGCTAATTTATTGACTTGGCAAGGGCTTACTGTTCATGAAAAACCCCGGTATGATAACGGGGCCTTTAGGATTGAAATCAACTTTCTAGCAGAGTATCCATTCGAACCACCGAAGATTACATTAAAACAAAGATCTATCACCTAAACATTGATGAAAAAGGGCAAGTTTGCCTGCTAGTAATTCCTGCTGAGAACTGGAAGTGAGCGACCAAGACGGACCAAGTAATCCAGTCCCTCACAGCATTGGTGACTACCCCCAGCCTGGGCACCTGCTCTGGGATGACCTAACTAGGAA